TCCTCACAACACTCTCTCCTCTCCTCACACACTCTCTCTCCCCTCACACTCTCTCTCTCTCTCACACACTTTCTCTCTCTCTCACACTCTCTCTCTCTCTCTCTCACACACTCTCTCTCTCCTCACACTCTCTCTCCTCACACACTCTCTCTCTCTCCCTCACACTCTCTCTCCTCACACACACTCTCTCTCTCTCCCTCACACTCTCTCTCTCTCCTCACACACTCTCTCTCTCCTCACACTCGCTCTCTCTCCCTCACACTCGCTCTCTCTCCCTCACACTCTCTTCTCTCCTCACACACTCTCTCTCTCCCCTCACACACTCTCTCTCTCTCCTCACACACTCTCTCTCTCTCTCTCCTCACACACTCTCTCTCTCCTCACACACTCACTCTCTCTCTCCTCACACTCTCTCTCTCTCTCCCCACACTCTCTCTCTCCTCACACACTCTCTCTCTCTCTCCTCACACTCTCTTCTCACACTCACTCTCTCTCTCTCCTCACACACTCTCTCTCTCTCTCCTCACACTCTCTCTCTCTCCTCACACTCTCTTCTCACACACTCTCTCTCTCTCCTCACACACTCACTCTCTCTCCTCACACTCTCTCTCTCTCTCCTCACACACTCTCTCTCTCTCCTCACACACTCTCTCTCTCTCCTCACACACTCTCTCTCTCTCCTCACACTCTCTCCTCACACACTCACTCTCTCTCCTCACACACTCTCTCTCTCTCCTCACACTCTCTTCTCACACACTCACTCTCTCTCCTCACACACTCACTCTCTCCCCTCACACTCACTCTCTCCTCACACACTCTCTCTCCCCTCACACTCACTCTCTCCTCACACACTCTCTCTCTCTCTCCCCTCACACTCTCTCTCCTCACACTCTCTCTCTCTCTCCTCACACACTCTCTCTCTCCTCACACACTCACTCTCTCTCTCCTCACACTCTCTTCCTCTCTCCTCACACTCTCTCTCTCTCCTCACACACTCTCTCTCTCCTCACACTCTCTCCTCACTCTCTCCTCACACACTCTCTCTCTCCCTCACACTCTCTCTCTCTCCTCACACACTCTCTCCTCACACACTCACTCTCTCCTCACACACTCTCTCTCTCCTCACACTCTCTCTCTCTCCCTCACACTCTCTCTCTCCTCACACACTCACTCTCTCCTCACACTCTCTCTCCCCTCACACTCTCTCTCTCCTCACACTCTCTCTCTCCCCTCACACTCTCTCTCTCCTCACACACTCACTCTCTCTCCTCACACTCTCTCTCGCCTCACTCTCTCTCTCTCTCTCCCTCACACTCTCTCTCTCCCTCACACTCACTCTCTCCTCACACTCTCTCTCTCTCTCTCCCTCTCCCCTCACACTCACTCTCTCCTCACACACTCTCTCTCTCTCTCTCCCCTCACACTCTCTCTCCTCACACTCTCTCTCTCTCTCCTCACACTCTCTCTCTCTCTCTCGCGCTCACTTTCTCCTCCGTCGCCGCCGCTCTCAGTCACGGCGCATGCGCTGCTCCGCCGCTTGCATGCCGGGAAGCCGAGGGTGGCGTCAGTGCGCAGGCGCGCCCGCGCGCGGGGGCTTGTGGGAGTTGTAGTTCTCCCTTCCAGTGACCAGCCAATCAATCAATCGAGTGATCAATCCATCAATCAAGTGATCAATGAGTCAATCAATCAGTCAATCAAGCGATCAATCCATCAATCAATCGGTCAAGTGATTCACCACTCCGTCAATCAAGCGACCAATTCATCAATCAAGTGATCAATGAGTCAATCAATTAATGAGTCTATCACGTAATCAATCCATCAATCGGTCAATTGATTGACCACTCAGTCAATCAAGTAATCGATTAATTCTCGCCGCACTTTTTTTTTACAGTGTATCCCGTGAAGCTCTGCGAGACGTCTCGAAGACGTCCAAAGCAAGAATTATCATCATCTATCGATCGATCGATCAGTCAATCAATCAATAAATCAATCAAGTGATCAGTCAATCGAGCGATTTATCAACTGATCCTATCGAGTGATCAGTGGGATCAATCATAATAATAATCCTTGCACTTGATGTACCGCCATACGTCGTCGAGACGTCTCAAAGGGCTTCACAGGATACACTGTAAAGTGTAGTGACTGCGTGTTTCGTGGGCGAAGCACGGCAGCCAATTGCGCCCAGCGACGCCCCCCCCGCAAACAGCCGTGATTTCCGTGACCAAATCATCATTTATTTCGGAGGGATCATTACCCCCCCGGGGAAAGCGATCCGCCGACCGACTGAACAACCTACACCGCTGGTAAACAGAGGTGGTGCGCGCGCCTGGGGCGCGTGCGTACGTGTTTTGCGGGCGAAACGCGGCAGCCGATGGAGCGCGGCAACGTCCCAGGTCCACTCGCTCGCGAGGCGAGAGCTCCAACCAGAGAGCTACAGGTTGTCGTCTTCCAGTCCCAGTTCTGCGGCGTCGCAAGTCACTTCGAGAGCGAGAGAGAGGTCTGCGACCGGGATGGAAAGGTCCCGCCTGAGGGTGCGAGACTGCAGAGACTGCGGAGCCACGTTTAGCGACCCTGGTCTCCGAGGCTGACACCCTACGTCAGATTGGGCCGAGTCGCCTCTCGCGTGAAAACAGGGGGAGGCCATTCAGCCCCTCGAGGCTGTTCCGCCATTCTGTAAGATCCTGGCTGAGCTGTACCTCAACTCTAATTACCCGCCATTGCCCCGTATCCCTTGGCCTCGGTCTTAAAAGAAGTGAACGGATCCAACCAGTAGCCATTGGAGGGAGGGAGAGAGTTGAGGGAGAGAGAGAGGGCTGTGTGGGGTGGGGGGATGGGGGGGTGACCCGCTGAGCGGAGCTAACAGGTTGCACTGTTCCCACTTTTAATACCGGACCGTATAGAGTTTCCCACTGTCAATACCGGACCATACAGAGGTTCCCACTTTTAATACCGGACCATATAGAGGTTCCCACTGTCAATACCGGACCATATAGAGGTTCCCACTGTTAATACCGGACCATATAGAGGTTCCCACTGTTAATACCGGACCATATAGAGGTTCCCACTGTTAATACCGGACCATATAGAGGTTCCCACTGTTAATACCGGACCATATAGAGGTTCCCACTTTTAATACCGGACCGTATAGAGGTTCCCACTGTTAATATCGGACCATACAGAGGTTCCCACTGTTAATATTTACGGTCAGCCGAGTGCCTGACACACAAGGAACCCCGTCACCGTGCTTAAGAGTCTCCGAACCAGACAGCGTGCCAATTACTCGCGTGTTAATCTCCTCGGGGTCGGAACGAAGCCCCCAAAAAAACTCCCGGGAAATAGCAAAAAAAAAAAAAACAAGAGGCGCTTTACTTCACAATACACCGTCGATATCCTCTTTAGACTCAGCGACTTGCTCATTTCTTACCGAGTCAAATCTTATAATAATTATCATAATAATAATAATCATATCATCTACGTGAATCCCGACTCCTGCAATCAGTCAGGATTGGATACATCCCTAAGTCTCCTTTGCTCCCAAAATTCCAGCTACAGGACGTTGCAAATCAGTCTTGGTTTAGCTGCTCAGTTGCTCTTTTTCTCCCCCACCCCCCGCCACCCCTCTCGGGAAACTGGAATCAAAGAGCGCCTTTTCGGGAAGAAAATCAGCTAAAATGTCCGCCTATCCGTCAAATCCACTGCCCCCCCCCCAACGATTAGAAAGTTCCGTGCGGCTCGGCATCGATCCAAGATTTCGTCTTCAAAACACTGGGCGTCCTGTGAAGTGCTCCGAGACGTCTCGACGACGTGACGAGGCGCTGGATCGAACGCAAGGATCGTAGAGGTTCAAGAGGGCACAGAGGCTTCTGCCTCAGGACATCTCACCGAGGGCCGGGCGATCGACTTGAGCCGTGAAGAAGAAACCGCGACATTGATCTGTTCCCACATCCGTCAGGATTGAGGCTGATTTGTGTACGTATATATATATATATTTCTCTTTTCTTGTTTTAAAAATAAAATAACGCGTGGAGGATCTAATCGAGTTTCCGGGCTCCGAGTTTGAGAGGGCCCTTGGCTGCTTTTCGCTCTGCTCTCTTGGCTTCCATTTCCTTCTTGCGCTCTTCCCGTTTCTTCCTGGCCAGCTCGGGCTTGCTCACCCCTGGCGGACAGAGACAGAGAGAGAGAGAGAGAGAGAGAGAGAATGTCAGGTCAATGATGTTGAGTCTTGTAGCTTCAGTGGTTAGAGCGATCGCCTTGCAAGTGAGAGGACCTGACACACACATACAGACACACCAACCCAGGTCCTCTCCCTTGTGAGGTGAGCTCCCTAACCGACACGTTACAGGCTCCACAACACAGCGCCGCCCTCCACCCTCGGACACAAAAAGATCTCACAAGCTGGGGTCAGACGGGGGGACGGGGAGGGGGGGTAGAATTTTCTGCCCCCCGACAAACAGCAACCGTACAGGTGGGACAAACTGACCTGCATTTGCCTCCACGGACTCCCAGTTGTCCTCGGTTTCCCAGTCCCCGGCAGCTTCTGCGGTCCCCGTCCCAGTCCCCTCTCTCCTCTGCAGAGTGGCAATTTGCAAAGTCAAACGGAGGGAACCACCAAAGGAACTTGCGTTTACCGAAAGAGGACGTATGCCCTTTAAAGGCGGGGAAGGCCGAGGGGGAGATTTGATGGAGGTGTTTTAAAACGACGAGGTCGGGGGGAGGGGGGGGGAGAGTGGGACTAGTTGGGGTAAAACCAGGGGGAGTGGGACTAGTTGGGGTAAGACCAGGAGGAGTAGGACTAATTGGTAGCTCTTTCAAAGAGCCAGCACAGGCACGATGGGCCGAATGGCCTCCTCCTGCGCTGTAACAATAAAAACGACTCGAGTGGGTTCTGCTCACCTGCTGCTCGGTCGGGGTCTGTGCAAAGGTGGTGAAGAAATCTCCTTGCCTCCCGCTGGAGGCGCCCCGGTCCCAGTTGTACTCGCTGGACGGACGCTCCTCCTGTTTCGCTCCGGCTTTGGCTTTGGCGCTCACGGCTTTGCTCTGGCTGCAAGCGCGAGTCTGGGTTTCGCCCCAGTCGTTCCCCCAGCTCTCTTCGCCGCCCACGTTCTGCCCCGGGCTCGTGCCCCTTTCCTCGGCCCAGTTGTCCTCTACCTCCCAGCCCGAGCTGCTGAAGTCTGCAACAGAGGCACCTCCGACATTCTGCAAGACAATAATAATAATAATCCTTGCATTATTGGGAGTCCTGTAGGTTACCCGACCTGAAAGTTGGGGGGGGGTAGGAGGGTGACTGATGGCCCAGCCTCGAAGAGGAGGGTCTTGAGGTGGATTTAACGAGGAGGTAAAAGAGGGGGTGAGGCATAGGGATTGCAGGATAGACGCCCCATCCCCAGAGTGTAGGGGTGGGTGTCAGAGATGCTGAATGGCCAACCGCCAACGGGTGGGGTGGGACGTGCGGGGGGGCTGGGGGGGGTGAGGGAGGCTGAGGGAGCGGGCAGGTCGGCATGGAGGGTCTACCCACCAGTCTGTCGGTGTTTTTCCTTTTGCCGGGCGCGGCCGATGGCCATTCGGAGCCCCAGTCTTCCCTCTCCATCGTCCCCTTGGTCTGATCAGGTTCCTGGGTGTGGCACGAACACGACGACAGGTCAAGAGGGTATATACTGCGGGTCCAACAGCAATTTGCATTCGCTTTCGAGGGGGTGGGGGGGGGGGGGGGAATAATCCCTCGTAAAATAATAATAATGCGGTCACTCTATCCACGACTGTCTGTGTGCAACTGGCTGCGAAAACACAGTCACTACACTTGACAGTATATTCTGTGGAGCGCTTTGAGACGTCTCGACAACATGATAAGGCTCTGGGTCACATGCGAGGATTATTATTATTATTCGGGCAGAAGGTTTTAATTAAGACGTCTTCGATCGAACCAGTGGGACGTAACAGACCGGCGGATACCTACTTCCAGGCTTCCCCAGTCCTCATCATCCCAATTATCCGGGTCTTTCTCCTTCCCCTCATCCTCCGCTGCCTGATCCCCGCTGGAAGGCCGCTCCGAAGTAGGAACAGGAGCCGTTGGAGGTGGTTTGGCCGGAGAAGGTGAGGAGTTCCTCTCGTCGCCTGCTGAAAAAAAGGGAGTCAGCGAGGCGTCTTGACACGCGCACACGGAAACCCGTCACCGTGACCGGTCGGGCGTCTGACACGCGCACACGGAAACCCGTCACCGTGACCGGTCGGGCGTCTTGACACGCGCACACGGAAACCCGTCACCGTGACCGGCCGGGCGTCTTGACACGCGTACACGGAAACCCGTCACCGTGACCGGCCGGGCGTCTTGACACGCGCACACGGAAACCCGTCACCGTGACCGGCGGTGTCACACGCGGAAACCGTCTCCGTTGCTCGAGAGTCTCCGAACCCAACTGAGAATTCCCCACATTCCCCCCCCCCCACCCCACCTGGAAACCCCAGGGATAGGTTGTCGGAATGGGACGCCCCCCTGCTTATCTAATTCCGGAGAGTATTAGGCGCAGGTTGGGCGAGAGCCAAGGATGGGGGGGGGGAGCCCAGAGTGTGCGTTGGGGGGTAACTACTGGGGTCTAACCAGCTAAACCCACACACAGCTCGGCCATCGAGAGAGAGAGAGAGAGAGAGAGAGAGAGAGAGTGCTGTCGGGCAGCTTTCCCGCTGCTTGTCCAGCCGGGACCCCCGCTCCCCGCTAGTTAATTAGTGGGGGCTTTGGCTCCAGGGGTTCACAGGAGCTGAGGGGGACGATTCCCTGCCCCCAGTGACTGGTCAACCCTTCGGCGCTGTAAGATCCTTTGATACACTGACCTTCCGCGGGTGTTGTGGGGATGTCTGCCGTCTGAGTTACTGCCGTCGGGGTTTGGCTGTCGGGCAGAGACCCCCCCGTTCCGCCCGCTGGGTTCGCGCGGATGAACTTTGACGTGAACGAGGAGACCCCCGTGACAGCCCAGCCGGCCCACCCCCCAGCCAGGGCCCCGGGCCCCGAGGAGGCGGAGTTCACATCCTTCTCTGCAACGACGACAAGAGAGAGAAACCAGTTACAGTAAATATTTTCGATTAATATAACACGGCACTTTTCAACCGCCACACGTTACATTTACGTCACGAGGCGCTGGACAGTCAGGGGTTTGGCCCCGAGGGGGTCAGGAGGGCAGGGGGGTAGGAGGGTGAACGAAGGTATGGTCAGTCGAAGAGTCTGGGCGGGGGATGTGGAGAGGAGGGAGCGTGGATAGCAGGTCATAGAGGAGCGAGGGACCATGGAGGGCTTTGAAGGCGAGGACGAGGGCTTTGATAAAACTCGATCCTCTTTGGGGATGGGGAGCCCAGTGGAGCCCGGGGGGTGGTGGGGGAGATAGGGTCACGGAGCCTGGTGCGGGTGAGGGGGCTGGTGGGGGGTGGGGAGAAACCACAAAGAGCCACACGCACATACCCACGTCCGCCATCTTTGTCGGATCTTCTGACACCAGCTCCAGTTTCACCAGGAAACTGCGGATCGCTTTAAAAGCCTAGAGAGAGAGAGAGAGAGAGAGAGACAGAAAGAGAGAGACGCTATTTCAAGACAATACGGTCAGGGCTACACTGCGGATAAGCAAACAGTGTGGATGACGGGGCCGGGAGCTGTACCTGCTCACGGACGTTGCTGTCGGGATCCACGGTGAGAGCGCTCAGCACCACCAGCACCTTGTGCGCGCAGTCGGCGACGGAGTAATAGTTGTGGGTGGCCGCGAAGCCCATCACGCCAGCCGCTCGGGACGGGGCAAAGGGGTCCTTGGTGGCTCGGGCGAAGGCCGAGATCAGCACCCGCTGCCGCGTCTGTAACCAAAGACAACCAGGCTGTTAGTTGCCGCCCACAACCGGAGATTACCTCCCCACCTCCGGCTCTCTCTCTCTCTCTCTCTCGTTGTCCTGTCCGACAGATCGAATCCCGGGGGGGTGGGGGGGTTTTCAGCGACGTAATAAACTCGCTGTATCAAAGAAGCTTCATCATCATCATAATAATATTAATAATAATAATCCCTCGCCTTCGGGACACAGCGCCTGATCACGTCTTCGAGGCGCCTCAAAGCGCTACGCAGAACATGCTGTAAAAATGCAGTGACTGCGCAATTTGTGGGCGAAACGCCAAGTGCGTGCAGCGATGTACCAGAAACAGTCGTGGATTGAGGGACCATATTTTTTATATATATATATATATACATAAAAGGAATTATTAACCCCGGAAAGCGACCCGCCAATCCACTAACAACCGAGAGGGTTTCCGTGCGTGTCAGACGCGGGTTTCTGCTCGAGGACAAACTCCCAGCGGACCAGAAAACAAATCGACAGGCGCCATATCTCCCTCCCTCCCTCCCTCCCTCCTCCCGCTTACGTTGACATTGAGGTAAGAGGAGATCTTCCCCAGGCAGACAGTGGTGTTGCAGCGAATGGGGCCCTGGTCATCTTTTGTTTGTAGCCGGGCAAAATGTTTCATCAGTTCCACGTTCAGGTTGGCGTCGTTCAGTTTAGGAGCCAGTAACAGCATCGACTGGAGCGAGGGAGAGGGAGAGAGAGAGAGAGAGAGAGAGATCAGAGTCACACACGGTCTAAGAATAACCATAATAATCCTTGCATTTGGTACAGCGCCTTATCACCATCGACTGACAACTGGTAAACAGAAGCGTGGGTGGGTGTGCGGGGAGTAAGGACACGCCTTTGCCCGAGGTTTCGCCCTGACCCCGCTCGGCTGGGAATCGAACCCGGGTCCTCTCGCGTGCCCAGTCAGCCGAGCAGGGCAGGTTGGCGTGGTGAGTGGGGCCTGGATGTGACGAGCGTGAGGAACGAAGCCGCCAGGCTTGTTTGTACGCACCTTGACGGTTTGCTCCCTGATGGCCGGGTTGGTGTCTGTGAAGCCGTGCACCACGTGAGGGAAGATCTGGTTGTTGACGGTAGACTCGTTCAAGTACTGGATGAAGTGCTCCATCTGCAAACAGCGGCTGATCAGCGGGTCGGTTGGGGTGGGGGGGGGGGGGAGGGGTGGGAGCAAAACAGTGGCCAACCTTCCCGCGACCACGTGCATTTGCGCGCCGCGCTTCTCCGGGTTTAGGAATTAGGAGGAGGCCATTCAGCCCCCCGGGCCTGTTCCACTCGTCGTTCTATTAGGACCACCTGTACTATTAGACCTCAACTTTTGCCCCACGCGCCTTCAAAATAATCTTAATTATCCTCGCATTTGACCCGGCATCTTCGAAACGCCTCAAAGTGCTTCGTGGGATACACTGCAAAGTGGAGTGACTGTGTGTTTTGTGGGCCGACTGTGGTGGACAGCGGTGGATCGAGTGACTGCATAATTATTTTTTTCAAAAGGGGATCACTACCCCCCCCCCACCACCACCACCACCCGGGAAAAGCCAATCGACTAACAACCGGGTTCCCTACTTATTGCTTGGTAAACCGAGGTGTGTGCGCGGAGTAAGGAAACTTGCTGAAGGTTTCGTCCTTTCCGTCCGAGAATCGAACCCAGGTCCTCCCGCTTGCGAGGCGAGCGCACTAACCACTACGCTACCTCCTGCCTCCATTCTTCCAATGCCCTCCTCTCCCCCCCCACCACTCCATCCCACTCCCACCGCCGCCCAAACCAACCCCTGCTCGCCGACTGACCTGTTGTAGGAGGCGAATCCTCATCGCTCTGTCCGTGGAGGAAAACATCTTCACCACGACGGGAATTATCTTCTGCTGGTATTCCTCGGCGCTCAGGAACTTCCCCACCTGTGGGAGCCAGAGACCAGGCAGATGCTGATCACAGCTGCATGTCATACCAAGCCTGGCAACCCTCTACCTCAACCCACTCTAGTCCGGTTCCGGAGTCAGGAGGGGCCGCGGGGTCCCAGGGAGGACCGCTGATGACAGCCCAGCCCGGGTCCGGCGCTCATCAGCAGGACCTGGAAGAAGCCGACCAGTCACTGGGGTCAGGGAATCCTCCCCCTCAGCTCCTGTTAACCCTGCCCTCACTAACTAGCGGGGAGGGTGGGTGGTCCTAGCTGGACAAGCAGCGTCTGATCTGCGTTGGAAGGAATCCCGCTTCAACCGTCTCCCCCTTGGGAGCCAGTTCCATTCCGCAGATTTACGACGCGGTCACTGAAAGAGAATTTGCGTAGATTGGCTCTGAATTTACTGCCCTTCCATCACGGGCCGAGTCCTTTGGTTTTACTACTCTGGACTAGTTCAAACAGCCTGTCCCGATCTACGTTGTCTCGCACCCGTTAAGTAGACAAACTATTCCTCTCTCTCTCTCTCTCTCTTCCTCTCTTTCTCCCCCACCCGCCCCAAACCGTACCTTGAACAGTGGCGTGAGGATTACAGCACCGGCGCTGCCGAACTCGAAGGCGGTTAACAGCTGCGGTAAGATCTTGTGCCGGCAAAAGTCCTCGGGGAATGTGTCCAGGTGGGAGCTCAGCTCCTGGAAGAACTTCTGGCGTTCCGACGGCTCCTTGATCTGGAGGAAGGCGCGCACGCAAGGATCGTTACAGCGCAGGAGGAAGCCATTCTGCCTGTCGTGCCTGCGCTGGCTCTTTGAAGAGCTACCAACTAGACCCACTCCCACCCACCCACACCCCCCGCTCTTACCCCACAGCCCTGCGCAGTTTTCCTACTCAAGTCCCTATCCATTTCCCTTGTGAAAGCTACTATTGAAGCGGCTCTCACCACCCTTTCAGGTCATGCGTGTCCAGGATCGTAACGACTCTCTGGGTAAAAGCACGTCCCCTCATCTCCCTTCTGGTTCTTTTGCCGGTGATCTTAAATCTGTGTCCTCTGGTTACTGACCCTAACCGCCCGCCCGCCGTCAAAACCCCTCAGGTTATTGAACACCTCTGTGAAATCTCCCCTCAACCTTCTCTGCTCGAAGGAGAACAGTCCCAGTCTCTCTCGTATAGTCTCTCCACATAACTGAAGTCCCTCATCCCTGGTATCGCTGTAACATATAAAAAATTAACGACGACTTGTGCCTTTCGGGGGCGGAGGGGGGGAGGGGGTAGTGTCTTGGATGCACATCACCCCTGTAGGCCACCAGTTGGACCACCAAACCCCCTCCCCGCCACCTCAAAGACTCACCTGAATCTCCTCCAGAAAAAGGTTGGTTTCCACGAAGCCGTTGTTCATGAACCCTTTCGGCCCCCGGCAGTTCAGGAGGAAACGAGCCGGGTTGGGCCTGATTTTGGGATTGGCACCCACCAGCTCGCAGTAATGCGGGACCAGGGCTTTGGGGATCTGAAAGGGTGGAGGTTAAGACGGTCAGGACAACAACACGGTGGCGCCACTCTCAGTGGCGGCGTCCCGGAGCGCTTGACAGTGGCGGAGCACGGCACAAGCTGGGAGGAGGTGACCGTAGTGGGAGAGTAGGTGAGGGGGGGGTGGTGGGAGAGTAGGTGAGAGGTCTCGCGGCGCTTTGCCCGACACGGAATCACTTGAGGATGAGACACGGACCTTCCCGAGGGATCGGAGGGAGGCGGATCTGGGAAGGGACCCGTTAAACACCTCCCAGATCAGGCAGCCCAGTCGCCACATGTCAGCCGACCTGCAACAGGAGAAGAGAGAGGGACTTCCGTCAGAAATAATAATGATGATCATCCTCGCGCTTGACCCGTGTCTTTGAGGCGTCTCAAAGCGCTTCACGGGCTACACTGTGAGGTGCAGTGACTGTGTGCTTTGAGGGCGAAACGCTGCAGCCAATTGCGCCCAGCGACGTCCCCACAAACAGTCGTGGACTGAGCGAGCAAATGATTATTTTTTTTTGAATGAATTATTACCCCTTTGGCCATTGAGAGAGAGAGAGAGAGAGAGAGAGAGCGCTGTCTGGCCAAGCTTTTCCCACTGCTTGTCCAGCTAGGACCATTAGTTAGTTAGTTAGGACTTGCTGCCATCAGTAGGGAATGCCCTGGGATACTGCAGCCCCTCCTGGCTCAGGAACCGGGGGATAGAGACCGTCACAGCCCTGCGGACCTACCATTTCTCTCCCGAGTTACGGCCTCTGGTCAAGTCATTCCTTTCGGGCGGATCGTATCTGTCGAGCTCTGGGAAACCCTTAGCCGCGGTGGGGATGTCCTCCTGAGCCGAGTACATGTAATCCAGCCCTCCCAGCTTCCACTCCCCCGCCCGGTCCACAAAAACTGCAGCCACGCAAACATTACTGTGGATCAGGCTGCAGTCGTTCACCAGGAAACACAGGGCTTTCTGCAGAGGAGGAGAAGCATTAGTTTCTGTCACTCCTCTCACTCGCTTCGTCCCTCATTCAGTCTCACACGCGCACTCACTCACTCAGTCACTGTCAGTCACTCACCCGAAGTAAATAATGGACGTCTCAAAGCATTTTGCAGGACATCACTGTAAAATGCAACGACTGTATTTTCCCAGCGAACGGCCTATTTCATTTGCGCACAGCGATGTCCTCGCAAGCTGCCGCGAAGAGAGCAAAGCGCGCTTTTAAATGGAGGGGGACTGTCAGGCACAGCGGGCAAGTAACGTTCGCTCAAACAATGGGCAGAGAGCGCGGTTTATAATAATATTAATCCTTGATACAGCGCCTTATCATGTTGTTAAAAAGTCTCAAAGCGCTTCACAGGGTACACTGTAAAGTTTAGTGACTGTCTGTGTTGTGCGCGAATCATGGCAGCCGATTATGCACAGCAACGTCCCACAAACAGTCGTGAAGTGACTGACCAAACCTGTTTTAGGGATCGTTACCTCCGGAAAGCAATCCTCCAATCGACTAACAAGCGGGTTCTGACTTACTGCTTGGTAAACACAGGCGTGTGTGTGTGTGTGTTTGTGTGGAGTAAGTAAACTTGGCTAAGGATCCTCTTGCTCAACTACTGGACTAGTTAACATGGAATCACTCACTCCCTCTCACTCGCTCACTAGATAAACAGAGGTGTGTGCGTGCGTGTGTGTGTGTGGAGTAAGCAATCTTGCCTAAGGTTTCGCCCCGCCTGGAAATCGAACCAGGATCCTCGCACTTGTGTTAACATATAATAATAATAATAATAATCCTTGCATTTGATATAGCGCTTTTCACGTCGGGAGAACGTTCCAAAGCGCTTCACAGATCACACTGTAAAGTGAATTGACTGTATACTTGTGGGCGAACGCGGCAGCCAATTGCGCACAGCAATGTCCCACAAACAGTCGTAGATTGAAAATGACCAATTTATTATTGATTTGGGTTTTGGAGGGATTACGAGGGAAACCGAGGAAAAGCTCACCACAATCTGATGTAGACCCCAGGACACCTCCTGCTCGTTCAGCTGACCGTTTCTCAACTTCAGCTTCAGATAGGCAGCGAGCGGCACCACGGGCTCCGTCACAATGTATAGACATTTCTCAGTCTGTCGGAGAACACAGGGCACCAGTCACGAACAGCAACAACACATCAACTACACGAAGCTCTCTCTCCCCATCGTGTCTGTGCTGGCGCTCGCTTCCCCCACCGGAGCTCTCTACTCTAATCCCATTCCCTGCTCTCTCTCTCTCTCTCTCTCTCTCTCCCCATCGTGTCTGTCCCTTTACCCACCATCCCCTCCAGGTAAAGAGAAGAAGGGTGAATGACTGGGAGTCGTACCTCTAGTCCGTCAATGAAGGACAGAACGTTAGGGTGTCGGAGTGTTTTGAGACGCTTCAATGCTGTTTTCGCCGCTTGCGTCTGCTCCTCTGAATTCGGCTTCACCTCGTAGATGAAGATAGACACGGGCTCACCTGTTCCCTGTGTGTGTGTGTGTGGGGGGGGGGGGGGGGAAAGAAGGGGAATAATAATAAAATTAGTAGTAGTATTATTATAACATCTTGGGAGCCAATTCAGCTCCGAGGAGACCCCACTTAGCCCCCCCTCCCCCCGCCCCAAGGAAGACAGTCACTGGCTGTTTGCTTGACATCTAACAAGAGCCCTCACCGGGCGAACGGGAGGTAATAATAATAAAGGTAGTAATAATAATCGCTGCACTCGATTACAGCGCCTCATCGAGGAGTTGATCACTGGGGGGGGGGGTACCGCGGGATAACCCCCAGTGGCGAAGGCGGGTTAAATGGAATTGCATCCCTTGCATTCACGGCACCGAGACGAGACGACAACAACAACAACATCAACAACAACAACAACAAGATTGGAGGAGGACGTCCCAAGGCGCTGGACGGTTGGGTCGGGACCCGAGCAGTGGGGGGGGGGGGGGAGAATGGTCCGGGTGAGGGGGGGGGGGGGTGGGAAGAGACGTCGCAAAGCGCTTGCGCGGGCTGACCCCGTAAAGTGTAGTGACTGTGCGGTTTGTGGGCTTTCGCCCCCCAGCGAAGTCCAAGGATCATTATTATTATCATTATTATCAGTGTTTCGACCGCTGGTAAGTGGGTCCCTCTGTGATAGATGGGCGGAACAGGCTGAGGGGGGGGAGGGAGGGGGGCTGAATGGCCTCCTCCTGCCCCTGCGTCCCAGTCGGGGAGGACGCACAGAGCTCAGCGTGAGAGCGTTGGCCGCCATCTTCCTGCCCCTCAGCTCGGGCCCAGCTGTGCTGTGCTGTGCTGTCCGTCTGTCTGGGGGTGAGGGGGTGGGGGAGGGGGAGAAGAGGCCACGTCAGGCCCGAGTAGGCCTGAAGCCTCGGCCTCGCGTAACTGCCGCAAGAGTCACCGCCCCGGCCCCACCCACCCCGGCGCCTCAGACCTACCTTCTTCTTGCCCTGGTGAAGCCCCCAGGCCCCCGGCGGCGCCTCTTCTGCCCTCTCGCCCGTCTCGTACTGGAAATCCCGCGCCGGGTCCCGGGCGAAGAAGCTCCACATCATGGCGGCCGCCGGCCATTCCCGCTGCCACGCACGTCACCGCGTCACGTGACCCGCCCCCTCCTCCTCCGCCGCCGCCGCCATTGGTTGCGGCGCGGCCCCACGTGGTCCCAGCGCGCCACGTGATCGCCCCGCTCCACCGCCACGTGATCGCCTTCCACTCACTCCCCCCCACGTTCGCCACGTGACCGCATCCCCTGCAGGCGAGCCCGCCCCTTAGCAACCCCGGTCTCCAAGGACGCCCGCCCCCCCCCCCGCGTGATCGCCGCCGGCCCCGCCTCCTCCACCACCACCCACCACCGTGACGCGACAATGCAGCCACGTGATCGCCCGGAACGCCTCCTGCCACGTGACCCCCCCCCGACTCCGGGTCACAACAATAACCACGTGATCTCCACGACTACCATCACGTGACATCCCCTCACCCCCCCCCCCTCCCATGTCATGTCACCTCTCCGCCACTAGTGGGGGCTATTGACCCAATAATAATAATAATAATAATAATAATAATAATAAATAACGCGACAATACCGACGTTAATAGCGAATGACAATCACGTCCTCGAGACGTCTCGGAGCGCTTCACCCGGGGACGCGCGCCGTCAAGCGTAGTGACTGTGCGTTCCGCCGCCGGTCGCGCCCGGCGGCGTTCCCACCGACTGACAAAGCGCACAGTCACTACACTCGACGGCGTGTCCCGTGAAGCGCTTTGAGACGCCGGGATCGCTATTATTATTATTATTGTCGTTGTTGTTGTTGTTCCCGGACTCCACATGTCTCTCATCGTGTCGTTTCTCTGCCAATCGGTGGCGGCTGTGGACCCACTAAAGTGACTGACTTTCTCTTTCTCTCTGTCTATCTCCGTCTCTGTCTCGCTCTGTCCTTCGCTCATTTCACTCCCTCACCCGCGAAGGGTCAGTCGGAAAGAGAAAGTTAACCGGTTTCTGTGAATGGGGATTGTATTCCGGGAAGTCCGGACAGGATGTGAGGATTTACAGGAAAAGGCAATTAAGATAGAGAGGAGGGAGGGGTTGGGGGTGGGGGGTGGGGGGGGGGTGGCAGAGGAGCGACGCCAATAAATCCTGCGCTGGTTGGTAATCGGAGTCAAGTTATTTCTGGGGTCAGGGAGAGAGAAATCAGCTGAGTTCCTGCTCCCGGTCCCTGTCGCTCAGCGGTCAGAAGCAGTTTGATCCCCGGCTAATTATTTGGCGACTCGACCCCCGCCTGATTGTGCGGGGACGCCGCTGTGCGCGAGTGACCACCGCGACGCGCACGGTCACTACACTCGACCGCCGCCGGGAAACGCGACCAGAGACCGAGCCTTTTGTTGTTAACAAACCTCCAGTTTAATAAAACAGAATAAAACTCCTGAGTAAAATTTTTGCGGATTATGTTTCGTACTTTACAAACGGTTCTTTATTCACAAGAAAAAGAAATATCTGATATGTGTGTTTAGTGTCTACGGCTGTCGGCGAACGAGAGAGAGAGAGAGAGAGAGAGAGAGAGAGCTGTTATGTTCTCCGGCGCCTTCCGACGTGAAAGGCGCTCATACAACGGGTGGAGAGAGAGAGAGAGAGAGAGAGAGAGAGGGAGAGAGAGGAATTAGGTTTTCCCACTGCTTCAAAGCACGCGGGAGGAGGCCATTCAGCCCCCTCCAGCCTGTTCCGTTCCGCCGTTCCATTGGATAGCGCACCTCTCAACTCCCCGCCCTTTGCCCTGTACCCCTCGATCCCCTGACCCCCTAACGGGCAAACGTCCGGTCCGCCTCAGGGAATGGATCCAGTCCTCGCGGAGGAAGGGGTGGGGGGGGTGGGGGTGGGGGTGGGGGGAGAGTTTTGGGTGAAAAACTGCCCGATTTCACCCCCGAATGGCCCGGCTCTAACTTTAAGATGACGCCCAGATGTTCTGGATTTCCCCCCACCACCCACCCCCCCACCCCACCCCCCACCCCCACCCACCAGAGGAAAGAGTTTCTCTGTAGATACCCCATCGAATCCCGTACTTAACCAATAAAAACCCCAATGAGATCACCCCCTCGACCCCCTAAACTCAAGGGAATAAAGAGACCGAGTTTGTCCAACCTCTTCTCCTCCCTTTATACGTCCTCTCTCCTTCACTCCTTCCCTCCCTCCCTCCCTCTCCCCCTCTCTCTCCCCCTCCCTCCACCTCTGACATCTCCAACGTTGCTCGAGAGTGAGGACCCGGGTTCGATGCCCGGAGAGAGGGGTGGGGGGGGTGGGCGGCGGTGGGTGGCGGTGGGTGGGTGGGTGGGTGGGGGGGGGGAGACAGACGGGTCGGGGCGAAACCTCGGGCGAGTTCCCTCATCCCACCACGCGCGCCGCCCCACCTGTCGATCGA